GGACCTGGAGAGTTAGATGCACAAGCCTGACAAGTGAGACCAGACCAGTTCCTTCCTGCCGCCGGTGTTCTCAGACTGCAGGTTGAGCAGTTATATGACTGTGGCAGAGAGGCGGGGCAGAAGGAGGGGTTTCAGTCACTTGGGCCTCCCCCTGACCAGTTTCTCTGGATTCCTGAGCTCTGGCCAACAAAGGCACTTTTAAGCCCCAGCCCTGGGCCCCTGAGTCACTATCTAGTCTCAGAAGAAACTGTCCTCTCCCCTTTCCCCCAGGCCGGTACTGAGGTCAGCTGGGAGACAGACACTGAGTCATGGCCCAGGGGCACCTAGGTGTTGGGATGGAGCAGCCAGGCCCAGCCAGGTTCCTGGCCTGAAGACCAGGGACCCCACACCCAGGGCTCCCTCATTCTAGGTTCTGGTGGGAGGCCAGAGTGGGGACCCTCAGGGAGAACATCTGAGGAAGAATTCCTGGCAGTGCCCCAGAGAAACCTTGCCTTAGTTATTGTTGCCCTTTTCCTTATCACTTTCATCGCTAGCATTATCACTACTGTTTTTATTGCTATCATGTATACACAGGGCCTCACCAGCAATCTTCTTGACACTGGCCAGATGAATCAAATGTGGGGGAATGAGGGGCTGGGACTCTTGGATCCACCACTAGCTGTCCCCCATCTCTCACCTGGCTTCCCTACCAGGTCAGAGGAGGGGGACTTTGAGATGATGCACTCTCATGCAGAGAGAGACAGAAGCCTGTCGCCTATTCGCAGGTGTTTAGGCCAACAAGTTCTATCCCCACCCAGGCTGAGCCTGCTTGGCCAGAAGTGGGTGGGGAAGCTCACCAGGAGCAAGCTGTGGACATCATCAGGCCAGGAAATGGGTGTTTACTCTGTGAAGACACACAGAGCCCTCCGATAAAGCCAGGATGGGTACAAAGTCCCATGAGACTTCAAAGGAAAGGGAGAAACTCAGGCCAGGGTGGGAGTGGAGTGCTGGGGCAACTGGGCAGTGAGGTGAGGGGGCGCTACATTCTTGGATTATGCTACAGAAAGCAATAAATTGACACATAAGTCACCACATGAATGGGTCCCCCAGGGAGTTGTGGAAGGCAACTCAGAGCCTTGTAAGGAAAGTCTCATTGAGGTGGGATGGAGAAATGTAGCTTGGCCTATGAACAGGTCCCCTGGGGAGTTGAGCAAGACAAGGGGAGTAGGTGAAGGAGGACACTGGTGGAGAGGAAGCAGGAAGGTGCTGGGAGTGCCACCGTGGGGAAACTAGGAGGAATCCAGTTCAATCAGAGATGGGGGTGGGGTGGGGGGCTGGGGGCAGAGTCGAAGGGTCAGAAATTTCTGCCTGGAATGTCACCAGACCCTGGGAGAGTGGAGGTAGGGCAGAGGGTCCAGGATCAGGAGGGTTCAGGGCAGGGGCTGAGAGGACCTAAGGGGTCATCATGGTGAGCCAGAGTGTTGAGGGCGCATCACAGTGGGATGGAGGGACTCTCTTGCCCTCTTCCTGGTCATATTGTGTCTCTCTCCTCACCACACTGGAGAGCTCTACCCAGGGGCTAGGGCTCTAATGCATCCCTGAGCTCCACCATCATCCAGCACCTGAGGTGGCTGTCTCCAGTTTGGGCCTAGACATTCATAGTCCTTGAGCTCCTAAAGGCAGGAAAAAAGTGTGCCAGGATCTGTGACTGGAGCCATCTGTGAATGCTGGGCACATGGGAGGGGTTAGAGACAGGTCTGTTGGCAGTACAATCTAGCACACTCCACCCATGATAGAGATGGGCAAATTGAGGCCTGTTATTGTAATTTACTCTACACACATCTGTCTCCCCTACTGGGCTAGGAGTTCCTGGGGGACAGGAGTAATGCCTCGTTCAAACTCAGTGCCCAGCACAGGGTTTGGTACGTCACAGGTGTTCAAGAAACGTTTGATGATGGAAGGAAAGAGGCATTCTCCGGTTTCCAGCCACCTTCCCACACTTTCACACACCCCCCAAAGCCATTCACAACAACACAAACAAGGAGGTTTCTGCTTGGACCACACCTCCCTGGAACTTTCCTTACAAGGCTCTGAGGAATTGCACACAAAGATAATCACCTTTGGTGATTGACAATAAGTGCTTTCCTGCCAGTGACCTCATCACAGCCTCCTATCAATAAGCAGGTCAAGGAATCTTATTGCCTTGGCTCAAATGAGTAAACTGAGGTATCAAGAGAGCCAGGGTTTGCCCAGGATGGGTGGCCCCTCCAGCATGGGAGCCTGCGTACCTGCCATCCCAGCCAGGCAGACCTTTAGCTTTCTGTGGAGAGATGTGAGTTGGTCAGATGGCTAGATCTCCCTCCCAACACTTCCTCCCCTTTCTTTCCTGGGACACAGCCAACTGGCATTTAGGGAAACAGGAGTGGGGGAGGAGAAGCACTAAGCCCTAGAACATTCCACCTGTGGCCCAACAGAAGTGACTAAGAAGCTATTCTTTCTTGTGGGGCCCAGGCTACCTCATGAGGAACAAAGAGCAGAAAGGCTAGGGGAGAGGAGGAGGGTGGGGTGGGATGGGAGGAGGGAGAGGGCCCCAGGCACAGGCCAGGAAGTCCGCAGGGAGCTCAGGTGGGGTGGGACCAAGGTGTGAAGGAAGGACAGGAGGGGTGTCCCTGGGGAGCAGTGAGTGGCTCAACACATGAGTGGAGCTGGAGAGATATTTGTTGATCTTGAGTTTTGCCAAGGGACAGTTGGCTTGGTCTCACCTACCTGCTGCTGGAAAAACACCAGCAAAGCTGAGACACTTTTCTCCACTCTACTCTGACTCCCTGAGCCCTAAGGTGGAGGAAGACAAGGAAATTCACCTCCAGGCGTGTGTCTGGCCCTCTCCCAAAATCTAAAACAATCTGTTTTTGGTTTTTTTTGAGACAGAGTCTCAAACTGTGGCCCTGAGAAGAATGCCATGGCGTCACAGCGATCTCAAACTCTTGGGCTCAAGTGATTCTCTTGCCTCAGCCTCCCAAGTAGCTAGAACTACAGGCGCCACCACAACACCCAGCTATTTTTTGGTTGTAGTTGTCATGGTTGTTTGGCAGGCCCGGGCTGTATTCAAACCCTCCAGCTCTGGTGTATGTGGCTGGCGCCCTACCCACAGAGCTATGGGCACCAAGCCTAAAACAATCTTTTACTAGAACACCTTATAATGTGTCTTTTATTATCACCTTTGTTTTGGGATCAGGGAGTGCAGGGTTGGTGCTTATTTTATTTTTCTTTTTCACCACACACACTGTATAATTTCATACTAGTAGAATTGTCACATATATACTGATTTTTATCAAGCATGGTTCCCTCCCCCACCAGATCAGCTCACTCATCTCTGCTCACCCCATAAACCAACCATCTACTTACTGCCAGCCTATGACCATATCCCAGCCTTGCTTCCTCTTTTTTAAAATGCAGACATTTGTACCCTTTCCCCTATCAAAAACAGGTGTAAAGGGAAATAAGGATATGACAATGCTTCATGAGCTGCAAAGTTTAGGACCAAAGCTAGGAAGTTTGGTATCCACAAACCATGTATTTTTTAAATTTCAGATTAATGTGAGGTACAAATGCATATCCACAAACCATTTTACCAGTCATACCCTGGGGAAGCCAATTCCATCTCTGAGTTCCGACTTCCTCCTTTGTAAAACGAATACAGAAGGAGATGAGGATGTGAACACGTTCTGTGAGTCAGAAAGTTTAGTAAGAATAGAGAAGAGAGAAAACTTTCCAACAAAAGATCAGCTGTTGCTAAGCCCTGGTCCTGCTCACACCAGGCAGCAGCTGTGATTTCTCAGACCTCTGTCTCTAGAGCTCCCAGGGCTCAGCCAAGCTCTTAAGCACAACATACACATGCACCTTGTACCGAGCCCAGCTCCCCCAGAGTCCCTAGCAAAAGGGCAAAGACAAAGTCTCCCTTCTCACCCTAAGCCCCTGCTGCATTCTGGGCCCAGGCTCTGTTTTTTATAGGGCCTATGCCCAGCCCCCATGCTCCTCTTTGGCAGCCGAAAGGATCTCAATGGGGCAAGCAGTTCCAGCTTTTAGAAACAGGAAGACGAAAGCCAGGTAAGCCAGTGTCCACTTAAAATTATCCCCCCCACCAAATATTCAAATATTGATCTCTAGCAAATCAAGCAGCTTTTTCAAAAAAAAAAAAAAAAAAAAGGAAACGGCCTCATTCTGAGCTTAAAATAGTCATTTAGTATGCAAGTTCCAAGTTGGTTCAAAACTTTATTTTTTCAGGAACTCAGTAAGCACTCAACTGGAGAACAACTCCACTCCACACAGAGAAATTAAAATTGTAAGACAAAGTAGCAAACATAAGCCATGTCACACCAACTGGGTACCCACCCAAAGGAAAATAAGTCATTCTGGCTCAGCGCCCGTAGCTCAAGCGGCTGAGTTGCCAGCCACATTCACCTGAGCTGGTGGGTTCAAATCCAGACTGGCCTGCCAAACAACAATGACTGCAGCAACCAAAAAATAGCCAGGCACTGTGGCAGGCACCTGTAGTCTCAGCTACTTGGGAGGCAGAGGCAGGAGAATTGCTGGAGCCCAGGAATTGGAGGTTACTGTGAGCTGTGATGCCACCACACTCTACCCAGGGTGACAGCTTGAGGCTCTGTCTAAAAAAGAAAGAAAAAGAAAATAAATCATTTTATCCAAAAGACACCTGGAATGTTTATTACAGTGTAATTCACAATTACAAAGATGTGTAATCAACCCACTTGCCCATCAATTCAGAGAGGATTAACAAAATGTGGTAAATATATACTACTCAGCCA